TGATCTGAGACCTACAGCATTCTGTAACACGCTTGAATCTGCATTTGTCCTTACCACCTTTGTTTTTTTCCAAACAGGACTAATTATGCTATTGGCATGGCAACACTGCTGCTGGTATAGGCCAACTATGTAGCTATTGGGATTTGCCAAACTTGAAAACCTCATTTTCCTTGCAGTAATGCAAAATATAGGAACCGTGATCCAAGTCTGCAATTTCTGGGAAAGTAAGGTCAAGTATCTATGCCACCCTGGCATACCAAGGAGTAAGCAGAGTGCTAACTTCTGGCATGGTTAGTAGCAGCTTCCAGGTCATTGCAAAGATAGGAGATAGTCAATGGACTGAAGCAGCATTCTTGCCACCCCTTATTTGCAGCCTTCCCTTCTTCAAAATAGTTAATTCCATGGCAGAAACATTAAGATTTTGGTATCTTGGGAAAACATTAATTTGCATAACCACAGAACAGTGGAAAGGAGGACTCTGAATGGGATGAGATGGTCAGAGCTATTGTTCCAGGCTCCCTGTAGACCCCAGCAGGATACTGGCTTATATATCTGCTTTGGATTACTGAAGTTATTGCTGAAAGAGGAAGGAAAGCACGCAGGAGTTGATTATGGAGCTCCACTATACAGACTGTGACCCAGCATGGTAAATCCCATATGCCCAGTACAGTGGAATATGCTGGATGCCACCTCCACATTGCTCCTTCAGTTTAGTCCTAATTATCATCAGCTAAGACCATTGTCTCAAATAGAGTTCAGTGTGAGCAGGCCATAAGGTGTGACAGTGGAAAAGATTATGCTGGCTAAGATGAAAGTGTTTAGTGGCATCCGTCCAGTTTTTCTAAGGGGAGAGATCCATGTTAGAAGACAGTCTTCCTAAATCTCAGCTGAAGGTAAGATCCTAATTAGGAGATTAATGCCTTAAGCTGAAATATTTTAGGTCAGCCTCAGAATAATTTCTCAGGGAGGTTTTCCATTACACACAAACATACATGTCCAGGTGCAAGCCACAAACACAGGCACTGGACCAACCCCCAGACCTCTATTTCAATTTAACCAGTTTTCCAATTTGGTCATTGAAACAACTGAAAGAATCTCCAAGATCATTTTTATAAAGTAAGGCAGCATATTCTATTTTCTCAAAACTTGCTACTCAGTTGGAGAAGTATACAGAGAAGACAGAAAATGTGTGCAGGATATTAACAGCACAAACCAGAAGAGAAGGCCATCTTTCTCAGGTATTACCCCAGAGAAAAGGGCAGAAGGAGAGGCTGCAGGCTTACGACAACTGAGGAAGGAACGGGGGAGGTAGCTAGGAAGGCTTTGGACCTGGGGAGCCTGGGGCAGCAGAATATCTTGGGTCTCGGTATACGTTTATCTGTGAATGGGAGAGAGAGAGAGAGAAGAGGTTGCAGGTCTGGGACAAGTCCCTGTGTGGCATCTCCAAGTAAAATTTTGTTGAGTGTGAAGCAAGGCTAACTCCCAGTGGCTTGGCTAACATCCAGAAATATGGTGGTGTGTTTTTTAACAGAAATAGATATATTGCTGTGAGGTGGAACCCAAGCTGAACCCCACAGTCTGAGCCATTCCTGTTTCAAGAACCAGAACTGAACCTGGACCTTTTTTTCAAAGTCTTGTTGAACTGGAAAGGAATCTGTATTTCAGTCACAGATGACTGAAAGATTTACTGTGTAGCCCTGTAGTCTTGTAAACACACTGCTGGTAACAAGCTGGAGGCTCTGTATTAAGCTAACCACACAGGCCTCAGGATTGGGTTTATTAGGCTTGCTTGCAGTTTTGTTTAGCTGTAATAGCAATTGTCTAATGACCATGCGGCTATTACCTAATTTGTTTTAGTTTTGCTTAATTCTGAATAACTGTGTGCTATAATGCCTATCATTAATAATTTTTATATAGGCAGGAATAGCAAGTAGTTATGCTGTACAGAGTGAACTAAGTCTGACCCTCAAGTAATGATGCAGCATAAAGGAGTACCAGCATGGGCTGATAACAGAGGTCTTCAATGTGTGAGCATAGGATGATGCTGGTTGTCCCTGGGCTATCAACAACTCCCCACTGGTCAGTTATTCATAGTAAAGCAAACTTAGGAGATGGGGTGGGGGGGTGGGGGGGAGGGGAAGAGTTTTAGAGAACACAAAAAGGCAAAAGAAAAACATATTTACCATAAATTGTAAAGTCAGAAGTAACATAGATTTTCAGACCAATGTAGAAAGAGCAAGACGTAAAGCATGTTAGAAAACATAAAAATGGCCCTGGGGAAACCTTGGGCTGAGGAGGAAGAAAGGAAGCATCAACACCATCCACCTCCTCACAGAAGAGGAAGAAGCTCCATTCATTAACATCGCAGCCCTCCTCTGAAGACCTCAAGATGCTGATTACTTGACAACTCCAGCCCCCCCACCAGACCGAAATGGTTCACTTAAGACACAAAAGAAAGTGTAAGGGTGAGCATAACTCCAGAGGAAAATGAGTAAAAACCAGGAGATTTTTTGTACAACAACTTATAACTATACTACTGTTAAAGACACTTGTTTTGCATTCATTAGCTAGCTTTGACCCTAAGTGTTAGTGTCATTGCAGTTGGACTAATAATAATTTTTTGTTGCGTTTTGGTTATACAGATGAAACTCTTAATTAGGTGAACCACAAATTCTTGGCTTCATGTATAAGGTATGTTCCCCTTATTGCCCATAACAAGATTTTGAGTGTAACAACTGCTTAGTCTCTTTAAGCATTGAACAACTTTTTCTAATGCCTCTCAAAACATTACTGTCAACACAGGACTTGTTATGGCAATGCGATCCATTTCATTGGCAGTGAACAAGAAATTGGATCTTATATGGAATGACTGGATTACCTTAGCTTTTCTTTTGCATCTTTAAAACTTTCAGCAACATAGTAGACAGGCTGGAACTCAGTAACAGGGTACTTCTGCACAGCAGTCTTCTCCAGGACAAGAGGCTGAATCTCAGGCTTACTTGATAAACAATACTATGAGCAAAAGGGTAAGAAATTTATTTCAGCTAAAAAGCACTTGAATTTGCTGTGAAAGAAAGATAGAGCTACTGAATGCCACCCAGTTTCAGACAGGAAAGAGTTGCTCCTGTGGAATACAATGACAATGTCACTTACAGGAAAGAAGCAGGTATGAGTCCCCTGTGTATGTATACACTGACACATTTATTAGAGCTCTTCAATGAAGTACAACATTTCATGCTATTTCTATGCACAAGTATGAAGCAAAATAAGGATCTGAAGACATTCAGAAGAGAAATTTGAGGGGTTATAAACATCTTTGAAATGTTGTTTTATAGAACACACCTGCAGCTCCCCAAATGAAGACAGCAGCCCTGCACCATATGCCTTGAGTGAATCGCCTTCTTTACATAGTCCAAACTCCACCGTAAACCAATAAACCTAGCAAGAAAATTAGAAGGAAGCATATGATTCCTTGATCAAAAAGAGCAGGCACACATCATTGATTTGAATATATTTGGAGTTTACATTTCTATTTAAAATGTTGCCATGTGTCAAATATCAACTGTATAAATACAATAAATGTCCTCACAGACTGCAATTCTTCACCTGGAAGGGGCACAGTGCTAGACTCAATGTGCCTGCAAATGAGTTCGGTTCCCTGACACACACAGTTGTATTTTACCGTGCTTACATTTGTCAGCAGAGCAGAGACAATGAAACCTTAGCAACAAAACTTCATTTTGGCTGGCCAACCCAGTTGAAATTTGAACCTTAGTTGACAGAAGTTTGTGTCCTGTTTCATACAGAGGGCATCTAGTTGCAGCAGCAAGAGAGGGAATAGGATGTTAGTGCAATATTGAAGAAAGATGGTGTGTGGCTTAGCTTGACTTCTTGGTCTGTCATTTTGAAGGGATACCTGCTCTGGCTCAGAAGAACTACCTCATCTATCAGAAACAGCAAAGATGGTGCAATGCTTCACCCTGTTGGGTTGGCACTGGGGACACTAATCTCACAGGTATATCCTTGTTTTTATTTGAAGTTTGCAGTTCTGGGTCTCAGTAGTCTCAAAGTAGGATTCAGGTCAGCCATACTGACTGCAGAGGACATTATCTGCCTGGCAGGGTGGAAGAGAAGGGACACTCGCAGGTAGAACAACTACTGAAGCTGCCTCCTGAAATTTCCTGTTGAGATGTAGTAACATGTAATCTCTTCTTGCCCAATATGTTTGTGCTGGAGGAAATCTTGTCTGGGCTTCTGTGTTTAATCACAACTGTCACTTTGAATAAGGGGTGCCAAAGTTATTTTCCTTTAATGCAACTGTTTCAGGGTGGGGTTTTCCAATCATGGACTTCACTCTGTTCCCATTCAACTCTATGGGAGTTCTATCAGTGACTTCAGTGGCAGCAGAATTAAGACAACACAGGGTGCTTTGGAAAATTGAGCCCTCATTTATTAAATTACCGTAGCGAGTTTCTCGATGAAATCATCTGGAGCTCCCAGAGATGCCAGTCCAATTTCCTGTAACAATAAACCATTATTCTTCAAGCTGTTTATTGCAAACATTCTTCCTGTCTCGTCTTATGTAATTTCTCATATTTTAAATGTTACCATCACTTACTACCACACACAAATGTTTACAGGACATGTTCCTATCGTGCAACATCAATTTTAAACCAGAAATCTCTCCAGAAATGAACAAAGGGTCTTGTCCAAATGTCATTTACAAGGCACGATCCTTTGTGCCTGGTAAAAAGCCCACTGAGGTCAAATAAAATTTTCCTCTTGCTTTGACAGGCTTTTGATCAAGTCTACAATGCACACCCAAGAGAATGATGCTGTCAAAAGGAGGTAAATCAGTTACACCCACACACCTTAAATATTTCTCCTGTTAGCAGGAGTTTACCTGGAGCCTTGAATGAGTTACTTTTTATGAATGGCAGGGCACGATTTGAAAGAGCTTATTTTTACCTTAGGAGCTAATGGAGACTTTCCTGGGAGTCATGCAATAACTGGATTCAGAATACAGCCACACAAGACTGTATATAACCAGGTACCTTTCTTGGTTTGCTCCAGTGAGGACTGTGCAGTACAAAATCAGAGTCCCACACACACCCACATCAAGAGCATGGGAGCAGCCATCACCGTGTCATATCCTAATAAGTCAAGGTCCAGTAGGGCTTATCTTGCAGGAAACCCCAGTTCTGGGAAAGGGCAGAACCTGAGGGCAATACTGAGTGCTTACTAACTACTTCAAGTCAACTTTTGTCTTGTCAGCAGGATGCTACATCAAGTCCATTTTCCCTTCCTTCCTTCCTTCCTTCTTTCCCTCCTTCCTTCCTTCCTTCCTTCCTTCCTTCCTTCCTTCCTTCCTTCCTTCCTTCCTTCCTTCCTTCCTTCCTTCCTTCCTTCCTTCCTTCCTTCCTTCCTTCCTTCCTTCCTTCCTTCCTTCCTTCCTTCCTTCCTTCCTTCCTTCCTTCCTTCCTTCCTTCCTTCCTTCCTTCCTTCCTTCCTTCCTTCCTTCCGTCCTTATACCCTTCTGTCCTCCATCCCTCTTTCCATCCTTCTTTATCTCTCTTTTTTCTTTCTCGTCTTTCCTTTTCCTTCCTTCCTTTTTCCTTCCTTCTCTCTGACTCCTTCTTTCTTTCTTTCTTTCTTTCTTTCTTTCTTTCTTTCTTTCTTTCTTTATTTCTTTCTTTCTTCCTTTCCTTCCTTCCTTCCTTCCTTCCTTCCTTTCTTTCTTTCTTCCCTCTTCTCTCTCCTTCTTTCCTTCTTTCCTTCTTTCCTTCTTTCCTTCTTTCCTTCTTTCTGTTTGTCTCTTTTTCTGTCTCTCTGTCCATCTGCCTTTCTGTCTTTCTGACTTTCTCTCTTTCTGTCTTTTCATGTTTTCTGGTAATATGCAGCCAAAAGTTTACTCCTTCACCGAGGTTTGGCTTCTTTTCCAGAGACATTAACACTACCAAAGAGAAAGCTCCTCTCCAGCCTTCTCCCATGCTTGCAGCTGGGACAGCTCCCCACTTCACTCAGCCTCCTCTGTGGCTTCAATAGAAAACAAAAAAAATCTTCACTTTCCCTAACATTTGGACTGCAGGGTGGGGCAATAATTCATCTGACTCATGAGCCATTTAACTTTGCTCAGAAGGATCAACATCTACAAAAAGGTTTTAGATTATGAGTTTTTCTGTAAAAAAACAACTCACACAAGACAGACATTTGGAGTTTGGTTGTATGAGTTCACCTAAGTGATTTGTGTTAAGACTTCAAGCAATAAATAAATCAGCCTCAGCCACTCTTAAACACTGTGCTAATAAACACCCCACCCCTCATGGCTCTTGGTTCATCCTCTGAGTTATTTAGTCTCTGGTGTGTTCAATTATAAAAATAGTATAAACACTGAGCAACTTACCTGGGAAAACTGAGCAAAGCTGGGATCAGCAAAAAGAGGCACATGTCCTAGCAGCTCATGGCAAATATCACTGCAGGAAAACATGACATCTGAATAACTTTAATTTAGGAAAAGTCCATCAATGCTGGATGAATGCCCCAGAGTCAGCACATAGTCAGGAGTGCCGCGCACTTGCTCCTACCAGCAAATAATGCTCCAGACTCACGGGAAAACATATTGCTCTAAAATCATTCTTGTGATGGAAAGGCTTGCACACTCCAGGGTTTTTAGTGCTTTTATCATCATACAAACCTCAGAGGAAGGATGATACATTATTTCTTTTTCCTTATGGAAGAAAACCATCCATTCAACTGCCCACCCCACTCAGAAAAGCCCAGAAAGAAATCACCCCACCAAAGGGAACATGGATATTTCAGTCTCAAGGGCAAGAAACCTCTTTAGATGAAGCTCAGGCTACTGAGACAATTTACCATGGAGTCAAATATGCACCTCAGGAGCTTAACTCCAGTCCATGTTCAGGCCCACAGCCTCCCACTGAGAGGTGGAAGCTCGCCCTTCCTCAGGTAGGGCTATTTTCATCACAAGTAGAAGTTGGCAGCTGGACAGGCACGTTTGGGGAAGAACTCACCTAGGGACTGCTAGATTTTTCAAAGACAGAGAAGTCATTTGGTAAGATGGAAAGGGGAGAGGGATAAGATGTTCCCAGGAGGGCAAGGTCTGTGGAAGATATTTCAGCCTGGCTTTGTACACAATAAGAATGGGGTGAGGAGAAGCAGTGAGGAAAATCAGAAGAATGATGGCTAGAAAAAAAGGATGGGAAAAGGAGGTTGTGCAAAGAAGTAGGAAGGAAAAAAATGATAAGGGAGAGGAGAAAGAATTGAAACAATATGAAGCAGAGGAAGAAAACTGTTTTGAAAACGACAAGTGGAAAAGGACAATGGACAGGGACAGAGAGAAACATTGCAATATAAAACTGAAGGAGAGAAGGGATCAATGATCTGGGCTTCCTCTCTCTTGCTGCCAGAAGCTTGCTTGTAACATGTTGAGTCATTCCTGCACTAGATTTCACACCACTATTTGAGTGCTAATAGCTAAGCTAAATGCCTTTGTACACTGCTCTCTTGCCTCCCAGCCACCACGCAAGCATGCCTTCAGTAGCAAAACTGTCTGATCAGTCCCATAAGAACTTGCAGAAGAGGATGCATCTTGTTAAAAAGACTAGAAATCTTCTGAAAATGTTTTCAGAAGAGAGCAGTCACTTGGCTGCTCTCCATTAGCTCTGTTCCCAGGAGTGCCCCAGAGTTCCCACATGGTTATTATCAGTTGGGCTGACCCTGCTGTTAGGCTGCTGCAACTTTACACACTTTACACTTGTGCCAAAGTACTTACGGCTCTGGTGTGTACATGGGTTTGGACGAATGGCGAATATACTGTGTAGAGTGAAATACTCGGAATGCCAGCCCAGCCAAGAAGTCCCGAGAGGACAGTAAGCCTGCAACAGGACGTAGGCGAAATCCAGTGCAGGCTGAAGGGACAAAAAAAATGACATGTTAAAAACAACTAGTGTGCTTGATTTATCCTTATCTAGACTCCTCACAGTGGAAAAATTAATTGTTTTCTTTACTCTCCTTATGCTAAGCAGTTTAGTTGTGAAAAAGCAGGGAATCTTCTACCCATCACAGTATCTGAGTATCTGTACCATTGTACCCCTGGAAGTCTTAGAGAGGGACCTGGGACACGGGCTAAGTGATGTGCCCAAGCACCACAGGGAGCCTGTGATAAAGCAGGGACTGCTTTTCCATTTCTGGAAGCACCACCCCCACTGATAGCTGAGGCCTTTCATTTGATTTGGTTCTTTTATATGCTTCAAACTTACTCTGCAAGAATTTTGAAATGTCTTCAAGCTGGGGAATGTTGTCCTCCCGGTAGCCACAGTACTTCTCCAGCAGTGGGAACACATGGTTGTGTTCATAACAAGCATGAGTTGGATAGAGACTCTTCAGCTCCCTGAAGACTGTGGCCCATGTTTTCTTTTCTTCTTCCGTGTAGGTAACTCGAGGAATAGGCTGGCCACTGGAGAGAAAATGGATACCCTCCATAGAAGTGACAAATGTCCTATGGCACCAGCATCATACTCAGGAGCTTTACATGGGCTGGTGCAGCAGTGGAGATGCCTTTGGTCTGACATGTAGGTGCAAAAGGAGCCTCACTTGTCCCCAGGCACAGGCTGGGAAGGACTCTACTGACCTCAGCTGAGATACTGGCCTTTAGAAAACTCCTTGCATTACTCTGGTAAAAATAAATTAGTGCTTATTTGTCTTATCAAGATGTTCTAAAAATATTGGCTGGCTGTTTGTTTCAATTTATTTGCATTTCTAGATTTGGAGCAGCTGTTGTATTTCTTGCTCTAACACACATTACATTAATTGTTTTGGTTACAACAGGGAAACCATCAGCTCCAGAAAACTCTGTTTCTTGGAGGAGCAGAGAAATTCTGATCTGTGCTTTATGCTGTAACAGATGCAGACTCCAGCCAGTTTGACTTTTTATAATTGTAATGAGTAATTTTGAGTCAAATCCCACCCTCAGGCCTCCATGTACTTAGCTCATGTTGAAGCTAGCAGGAGTAAGACAATCACAAGCAATGTAGTTTGGCCTCCTGTGAATAGTCAATTCCTTAGCAATAATGATAGGGCCATAGGTGAATACAGCAGCTTTGAAAAATCAAAGGGTTTTAAGTAACATAATAGGGTTAACATCACTGCTGGAATAATGCTGGAGCTTTCCAAGCCCCAGAGACCCATTGTTAAAATCTTGATGACACTCCGCCATCTCCCACTCCCTCATTTTTTCCTTGAGCCTCAGGGCAGCTCCTCTGGAGCACCGTCATTTTCTGTCTCTCTGTATCAGCCCTCCTTGATCTGTGGAGCTTTAAACATCATGTTGAATTATGAGGATTTCTGGGGGATTTTTGTTCCTATAGAACTCCTAAGTAATCCTCAACCACCTTCCAGGGCTACAGGAGGAAGCTATGGCTTAAAAACCTTTCAAATTTCAATTAAAAAATTTCAGGGATGAACAGGGCCAGAAGCAAAGGAAGGCAGAAGGAAGAGGCAAGCTAAAAGCAAAGAAAAGAATGGTCAGGAAAATTAAGCATTCAACAAAAACAATGGGTAAATGTATCAGGAGAGAAGGCAAAAGAGCAAAGGCAGAGTAGAGAGGCAAAGAGCAGAAGGAAAGAGGACAAAGTAGGTCCAAAAGAAGGGACACAGAAGAGGATGAAATTGATGGTGGGAAGAAGCGTACAAGACAAGCAACCACAGACACACCTCACCTTTGTAGCTGGGTAGCACCTTCACAAGCTAAGCACATTTGCCTTTTCAGATACTTCCCATGAAACCTGATAACTTTGGTTGCCCAGATCTCTGGATCTCTGTCCCCCTATGCTGGAGACACCCCCTTGACCTCTCCTCTCCACTGTAGACCCTGAAAGGCAGGTCTGCCAGGTGTAGCACCCAGGGCAAAGACATCACAGATCCATCTAGGCCTTCTCAAATCAACACCCAAAGTCACAAAAAACACACACCTTCTTTCCCCGAGCCCCAGAAGCCCAGACATGGGCTTTCACACCCTACTTACTGCTCTGTTACTGAAAGACCTAATTGGAAAGTCCAAGAACTTTACATAAAAGGTGCTTTTCAGACATAGGTCCAGGTCTGCATAGGCTCTGTTTCCAATGTGTCTGGGGATCTGGATAACAAACTAAATATTAATTAGTTACATCTTAGAATATAATGGTTTCATCTTCCTAGGATGGTTTTGAATCTTGGGGGGAGGGGGTGGTTAACAATTTTTTTGCTTTATTTCTATGTAGGATTTGGTGAAAGCCTGCAAACTAGAGACCAGAATTTGCTATCCATTATGCAGGAAAGATAAGTCCTCTGTGGGATACCTATAAATGGGCATTAGAACCATCTGCATCTGGCCACAAAGTCTTATCCAAATTTTCTAGCTATAAACTGGGCCTCTGACTTTTTTCACCTGACTTTTTTCACTTTCCATCAATCAGTCCAGCTTTGTCTCTCATTTTGTAATTAGATTATTAGCTCTTTGGCTCAGGAACTATCTTTTCATCACAATCTTGTGCAAAGCGGAGCCTTAAATGTACAGCACATGTTACTTTATCTTTTGCAGTCACAATTTTTACCAGTCTCAGCAAGAATCAGGCCCAGTAGTACTGATGTAAATGTGTGAGTGGTTCTGGGAACAGAATTTTATCTCCTCTGGATTTGATCACTGAAAGCAATCAAGCAAGCCTGTTCTAACTGAATTTATCATCTCCATTTATTTTTCTTGAGAAATGAGAGCCCAAATTGCTGATTGCAGCTGGGTCAGACATGATAAAAGTAGAGTATCAGGCGTTGGATTAGCATCAGAACCATAAGTTATTCATTATTTTAATAGTGTATGCAGCTCCTGCTTTAATGTAAATGATAGGCACTCCTCCCCCAGCCCTGGTTTAATGGGGAGAATACCAGAAGCGGCTTTATTCAATGCTCAGGTCTTTGTAGTAGCAACATAGTCTGCTGCTCAATTAGACAACAAAGCTGGGGAAGAGGGGTGCTGTGGGGAAAGAAGGGAGGCGACGTTCTTTTCTGAACATATGCCTGGAACGATTTACTTTTGTTTTACTGTGATTTGGGGATAAATGCACGAACAGGAAAATTTAAACACACGGCAGAGAAAAGCCAACAGCAGGAGGACGCTTGTGGAAACGTAGGGATTGCCAGAAAAGTGAGAGCCCCTAGGAGAGGGCAGGAGATGTGGGCTTGCTTTCTGCCCACACACAGAGCACTCACTGTCTGTAGTTGTAGGCGATATCTGCAAACTCCTTCCTCCGGGCCCGGTACACAGGATCTTTGAACCCCTAACGAAAAACAGTGATGGTCAGTCCCTGTGTAAGTGCAGGTGGTGAACAACCATCCTCTCACCAGGTGCCCTCAGGGACGGCTGGTGCAGTCCAAGAAGTGCAGGAGGGTGAGTGGGGAAGCTGCCTCCATCCTGCCCAGCTCTGCTCACATAGGGCACCGCTCCTTCCCGGTCTGCAGGGCCACCAGAGCAACCATTCAGCCACAGCCTCCCAGCACCTCTCACCCCGCAAGTCCTTTCATTTTCTCATTTACACTTGCTACAAAAAGGGGAAACATGGTCTTTGCAAGTGACAGCAAGGTGCTCCTGTGACAGCAATCCACCTCATTAATGGCACTCGAAAAGCCAGGTCCTTCCAGTTTCTTACAAAGCTTGTTGCAGGTCCCAACAGAGCTGGGCTGGTCTAGAGGAGCAAGGTTAAACCACTTTAGAAACACACTCATCAACTCAGTCAGGCCTTTTAGGTGGGTTTTCAGCATGAACCATGTTTCAAGGTGCTCATTTTCAAACTGTTAGAAGAACAATAGGCAGTTAGCAGGCCCCAAAGCCCTGTTTGCACTACGAATTCAACCATTTGAAGGGATTTAATTACTACAGAGAATGTCTAACGGACCTTGCAGTTGGGAGCTTGACCTTTGCAGTTTATTCCCAAAAAAACTAGGGGTAGGAAATATAATCTCTAAATCTTCATCTGGGATAACCATTCCCCTATCCCACTGTGCCTACTATTTAGACTAAAAGTTCCTCAGGGCTAGGAGTGTCTTCACCCCCTGAGGTGGAGAAACATCCTTCCAAGCTAGGACAGCCTTCTGCAGGCAAATAGCAACAACTCTCTGGGCAGTTCATGAATGCATCTCTTAGTGGTGCACAGCACGACTGGACTGAGGGGCCACAAAACACAACCAGGTATAGGAAACAGCTGAAGTAGGGTGGAGATCTAAGAATGTGTGTCAAAAAGAGGCAGTCAATGGCCTAAAAAATGCACTGTCCAAGATTAACCTGGCATGGAGGTATTTGTGATTAAATCCCATATCATTTAACTACAAAAAACACAGGCTCTTTTAATTTCTCTTTTTTTGCACTCTATGTACTGTCACACCTATTTACCTCAGCAGCTGGGTTTCCTTTTTTAGGCTCACTAACTAGTTCTAGGAACTGGAGCAGAGATCCTTCATTCCTTTTAATATGGGGGGTTTTTTTGGTGTCTTTTTTCAAATACAGTCTTGGTCTATTCCTGCATGACACACAAGGGGGCCATTGACTCAGTGTATCTCCTTTCATTCTGCCTTTCACATGACCACACTGAACATCATGAATCATTGTACATGATACATAACACATCTCGAATTAAGCAATAGGTAGTGAATGACTAATCACCCCATCTCAATTAAACTAATAGCAGCAATTTTTGTTGCGCTGCATGTAATTTATTTATAATCACCCTATCCCAATTAAACTAATAGCAGCAATTTCTGTTGCACGGCATGGAACTCAGTGTGTTTTGACAAATGAAAATAAGTTGTTGTTTGCTTGGAGAGGGAATAGAGGCAGAAAGTATTCTTGTATCTGGAAGAGCTGAAAAACTGCTGAACAAATTTTTTTTATCAGCTAAGCCAATGAACAAAACTTTCTGACTCTACCATTTAAACCACAAGCTTTTTCAAACAGAGACCTTTTCTTTTGTTCTGTCTCACCATACAAGAATCATTTCAGATTTAACAACCACATAACAAGGCATTAAGCTCAATTGTGTGTATGTGATCGAAGATGAAAAAAACAGTCTTCCTATCTCTGGGCTATGATATGCTGCTTCTGAAGTTTTTGTTGATAGTGATTCACAAAACAAGTCTGAAGTCACCATATCAGAGCCACTTGGGAAAAACAGAGGTGCTCTGTGCTCTGATGACCTCTATGACTTTTAAGGTCTCCTGGTATTTGCTCAAATTAAAGCAACCTTTGGTCTGATTTATTTCATACTAGGAACTGGGCTGATTCTAACCCTAGAAATGTGGTACCCTTCTTGTCCTAAACCACATGAGACTTAGTCTACTAGATTTACCTTAAAGCAGAGCAAATGTAAATAAGAGAAACATCTGATCCAATAACTAGAAACATAGTAAAAAAATAAAGCTCTGTTTCTTACAGGATGGTCAGCATCCAATTCTGATCCATAGCTTAGGATCTGATTGGCAAACCTGTCCAGCTCCTGGATGCTTCTTGGGAACCATGGCACTGCAAAACAGAAAAGAATAGAGACTGGTATGCTTCTTCACTACTTGGTTTGGGGTCGTCTTCTGGTCTTTCCATCTTTTCATCATAAATATAAAGAAACATATGCAAGGGGCTAAATTCTTTGGGCAGCAATGGTCTTTCCCTGTAGCAGGAGGCAAGAGCAAACCCTGCAAGTTGTCTTGAATTTGTGGCTGCTTTGCATTGCTGGAAGAATACAGAACATCAGGAATGTCTAGCCTTTGGCACAGAGCTGGCTTGTAATGTTTATGATTTTCTGTTTATTATTCTGGTTTCTTGGCTTACCAAAATGCAGAAATTTCTCCAGAGTATCCTTCCTGTCAGAGTAGCTAGAATCAGCCATTTCAAAGGAACAGCAAGAAACCCCAGAACAAGGATGACACAGGATTATTTGACCCTCTGAAAATCTGTTTCTAAGACCTACTTGGTGGCCTCACTTAAGCTAGGATGCTGAAATAAAATGATAAATGGCACCCTAGTACCTCAGACTAGCATTGTATTACTGCAGTCATTATACAATAACACATTCATTTAATTAACATTCTGGGCCTTACTCTCTATTGCCTTGTAACTCACATACTATACACGCTGCCTACAGTACAGCCAGGATATGAAACAGGACCACACCAACTACACAGCATGTAATGCCAATGTGGCCCTCCTTTTACAGAAGGACATAAGGTGGAGAGCAAGGAAGAATCACAGGGCTTTCCAGATGTGATGTATTCAGATAGGGGCAAGCGGAAGGCAAGTGTCTTCATGGCAATTGCACGACGAGGAGAGGCTTTTTGCAGCACATGAGGTACATAGAGCAGTCATCCCAAGTCAGACCTCCTTCCTGGAGGCATGAGTATATTCAACCAGTGGTCCAGGCAGTCCCTTGCCACATGTTGTCTCACCAGCAAGAGGCCTGCCACACACATGCAGTGGCTGTACCAGGCTGCAGCCCCCTCTTCCATCTCCTCCAGAAGGGTCTGGCTGCATATCAAGCAAGGGACCTCCTTGTCAGCTACCACTGGGCCTGGCCACCCTACCGCTCTGAAACACTGAGACAGGGAAGTTCAATGGAAGGGGTGCAGGGACTGTGGGCCCATTCCTCTCCCTTGTCCTGTCATCAGTTCAGGAAGTGCATCTGTAGGTATCACTGGCAGCTGGGCACATCCTGGGAGCTGCCAGTGCTTCTGGGTTCAGCTTGTTTGGCTTTCCCTTCTACTGCCCCATTCTTACATTTTTTGGCCCTTTGACCCTAGCTGCCTGCCTCTTTTCTTTTCCCCTTCTCTTCCCTTCCCTCCTGCCTGAGTCAGAGGCTACAGCCATGACTGAATTTAAAAGCTTGTGATGAACTTCTCACAAATACAACTAATTGCTCTTTGAACCCATGTACACATCTGTCTCCAGAAAACTCTGCAGCACTGAACTCTATCATTTCTTTACATGTAATATGAAAAATTACTCCCTTTTGTTTTAAACTTGATTACTTCATTTAGTGTTAATTAGTTCCTGCATACAAACGTCATTTGTTGTTATTCACCTTCTCCAGGCCACCTAGCTCCCTGTCAGATCCTCCATCAACCATCCATCATCCTGACTGAGACTTTGCCTGTGTATTTCAGCCACAGAAACCATGCGCTATCTTTGAGCACGCACATCACTTCTCTCTGCATCACTTCCAGTTCTACCATGTTTTTTCTGAGGAAAGGGCACAAGACCTCCATTTAAGGACATACCCCATGCTTAGGCCCTGCAATCATGCCCTATACGCTCCCCACACTGAGTACAAGTCAGCTCCATGGACTCCGAGGCTAATATCACCCAAAGCTCTGCTGGTCCAAGCCCAGGGACTCTGAGCAGTCTCTTTATCAGTAAAATGTTGCAGTTCATTTAGTGACTTTCTTGCACGAATGGGTGTCACTTGCTCAGTCAGTGCTTGGAAAACAGCTCATTCCCCTGTGTGTCTCTCTGCTTGGCTGGAAGCAGAGGTATGGTATGCCGCTCAGCCATACCTCCCCATTTGATTTTGGGTTTCGTGCCAAGTGAACCTGATCCCCAGCCGGCAGCTGCTGCATGAGCTCCCTGCAGTGCTTTGCTGATGAGGCTCATCCCAGACCTGGATGGACCCCCTACAGGATAAGAGGATCACTCTGTTTCTAGGACTATTCAGCCTTGCTTTCTGCTGTGTCTAACACCACAGAAGGCACTTGTGGCACTGGATTTCTGTCAGGCACCTGCTCAGAGGGGTCGGCGCAACATCAGCAGATTTACAGGGTACGCTTTGAGCAACCGCAGCTCAGCCCCACACCGAGCGCTCGCTCCCCCTGACCTGCTGTCCCACCAGCAGCCTGGCTCCATCCAACGCTCCTGCTGGGAGCCCTCAGATTTGTTCCAGGCAGGCCAGGGAAAGCCTGCCAGGGTGGCTGCCAGCCGGGGGAGGTCCCGAGCTGCCCGGGATCCCCGGGCTGCAGAGACCCGGTCCGGCAGCTCGGCAGTGCTCCCGCCTGTGCCTCCCCTTCTCCCGCCCAGCACAAGTGGGTTTTGTTCCCCCGCACCTTTCCGAGCTGCACCCCCTTCTGCTTTGCCCTAAAAACCAGACCTGAACCAGTCACTAGATGGCAGCAGCAGTCCCAGGAAGACCTTCCCAAAAAGACACTATTTGCTGGGTGTACCGTTAGCTCTCTAGTTTCTCCAGAAACAGCCTCTCACCTTGTTGTTAGCAACCTTCCTGTACCTCCAGCCCCTTCAGGAAACCGGTCAGAGGGGGTGAGTAGCAAAAGGTGTATTTGAGTCCTAGAGAGGAGTCACTACTCACTCACACCATGTGAAGGGTGAGCACACCCAAGCATCCTGCCCCTATTTTCTATGTGGGCAGCCAGGCACTGGGTTTATCTTCTAGCTCTGCCACCGAGCTTTATGTGATGGTGGGGCAATTGCTTCACTGTTTTGTGCTTCAGACTCCCCACTATCAAGTTGGGTGAGGCACACTGCTAAATGTTTTGGGAATAGGCACTGGGAAAAAAGTTGTCTGGCAGCCCCACAGCAAAGGATTTCTCAGTGTTAGAGTGAGTAACTGCTGTCCTCAGGGATGCACCATGACCTGAAGGGTCCAGGCAGTGCAGACAGACTGGTGGGGGCTGAAGTCTGCAGTGGATTTCAGTAGCAATGTCTGTAGAGTTTTGCTGCCCTCAATCAGAAAGGTCTAGCGGGCAGGGTTTGAATCATTGCAACTTCAAGAAGGGATAAAACAGATATATAATAGTGACTTACTTTCATTAAATACATTTTATTTTGAAGATCCGCAAAGTACTTGGTGCAGAGCTCATGATTAACTCTGGGACAGACTGACTCCTGGGCTGATGCGGTGTCAGTCCCAGGCGTGGAGATGGGTGGCTTGTTTCCCCCTACACAGGAGGAGCACGTTTTCTTTTAGGCATGCAGCCCCTATAGATACCTGACCTATTTTCACCAGATCTCTGCCCTCCACCCAGGTCCCCCCAGACACCAGTAGCTAAGAGAGAGCAGCTCTGAGCTCACAGAGCTGGATGAAAGGGGCAGGCTGTGAAAGGGAAATCCTGAGGACATTTAGTGCTATAGCATAGTCAGTGGTAAGTCAGGTCCTGTAAAGTCCTGAGCCTTCTCAGCTGTCGTGGAAACAAGAATCAAAGGTGCTGAGCACAGCCCCAAGGCAGGCGTTGCACCAAGTCCCATACAGCCTTCGCATCAGGCACCAGGATGCAAAAGGGCTACTGGATCTTCTCCCTAGCTGTGGTGTGCCAGGAGGCTGTCCTGAGCCCTCCCAGCAACTATTTAAAAGATCAAATCAAATTACCCCCTGGCTGAATCTTTCCCATATTTTGTTTGTGACATTCTCCTCCAGCCCTGTTCACCAGACTCACTGTCTGTCTGCACGGCCATTAATGAATTGCTAGGGCACGCTGTCGCAACACTGGGCCTCTGTGAAGGTCTGAGGAGCAAACGTGGGCTGATCAGTAATAAATATTGATTTGTCTGTAAGTGAAACAGCAGCATTTATGGCATCGTGCTGGACACCCAAGTGGTGACCAAATTACCACGGGGTCAAATGTTTAGCAGAATGCTAATAAGCCATTTATATGAGCAGCAGCAAAGCAGGGACAGCAAGGACTTCTGCAGAACTCCTCCATTCGGACCATTGTGAGGAGGGTCAAAGACAGGTCTATGCAATTTATAGCAGTGCAAGGCCCAGGTTTAGCCCTTTTTCAAACAGTCCCAAATGCTTTCACCAGCCTCAGGGTTTAGCAAACAAGGCCCCTACAGAACCTCAGCCTCCAGCCTGTCTCAGAAATACGATAAATTGTCTGCATTTCCCTAATACTGCAACAGAATAATATTTAATTATTTTTATTCATGGGCTCCGAGTGGTCTGCAGATAGCCAGCTTGTTTCCAAGAGCCATGAAGAGATGCACTGTGTTTTCACAACAGATCTTTCCATCTCTACAAAGGGCTTTTGGCCCAGTAAGAGATAGCCCATCTCATCTGAAGCTCTAAAACTACCTTTGGATTTAGACCATTTTCCTGGACTGCTCTCAACTAAAATTACACTGTTAATCCAAACCTGGTATTTGTAACAATTTTGGTGTGTAAACGGGAAACCAAAATTACATTTTGCATTTAAGAGAGGAAAGACCCTAAAAACAGTTAGAGTGCTGAGACCAAAAAAAGGCGCTGTTCATTTATACCTTGCCCAGTAAAGCACATACACATGAGTTTAATGCTGAACTATACAGGAGCAGCAAGGCAAGAAATTTTTTCTGACCGTCCCCAGAGTACTGTCCCAAGAATGGCATTACAGAAAACTGAGTAAAATAGGGGTTTTTTTGCTCAAATCATTAACATAAGCAAAGTGAAGCCTTAGCAAAGAAGGGCTGAGAGCATCTTCAGGCAATGATGAAAGAATCAGTCCCTTGGAAGCTCAGACTACCTTCAGGAGAAAACCTTCCCAGACTTTACCTGCCAACTGAGAAAGTGTGGCAATGTCCCCATAAACCATATTCCTGAGATTTTGCTCCCTGGTGGCATATTGCTCTCGTTCTGTGTTTTAGGAATAAAATATCACAAAATCACATCTGTGGATTACAACCAGATTTGCCAGGGTTCTGCCCTTGTAACTGCCTCAGCCCAGAATTTGCCACCTATGGTTCATACCCTAAGCAGGGCTTGTTTGACCTTTCAAAATATGGCTTTTCGGGGATTTCAGTTTGACTGGACCCTCTACTATTCATAAGAGAAGTTGAAATTTAAAAAAAAAAAAAAAAAAAAAAAAAAAAAAAAAGAAAAAGGGAAAGGGCAAAAAGAAATATCAGTCTTCCTCTCTTTCCTTGGCAATAAATTGCTCCCACTTTACACTATTTCTGAATTACTGAAACTAACAAACACAAGTTATCCTCTCAGACAGAAGGGGATCAAGTCCCTTTCTGCAGCACTGACAGGATAATCTAGCTCAAAAAATCCTTTGATCAACAGAGTAACATGCAGTGAAATTCTAATCCTACAGCTGACCAGTTTTGACTTCTGTGCGGTCAAAATTTCACTCACAAGCCTTTCTTGGCTGATATTTAGAGCCTTATCTCTATCCAACGCTGGCCTATGCTTATACATAACTTTATTTTTTAATAAAGTTTATTATTAACTTCTTAATAATAATTAGAAAAACAAAAGTGATGGCAAGCCCTGCTAAACACTATAGCTTTCTTCTGGCAATAAAAAAGCCCCCCAAAGAGAACATCTTTGATTTGACGTGATCATAAATCACCTAATCAACCTTTTGTCCCTCCATCTCATGAATGGAGAGGACTGACTCCAAAGAGTATCTGCCTTCTTCTTTTTCATCTTCAAATGTAATGTCATGGATAGGACACAAAGGAAACGGTAAAAGGATTACCAGCACTGATCTCAAGAAGGTATTAATGTCCTTTCATGTTGTTCCTAGGAAGGAAGAGGAAGATCCAGACCTAAAGTATTTAAAGTCTGAAATCCTATTAAAATCACATCTGTTATCTGAAGAGGCATTTAAGTATGTCTCAGACTGGATGCTGGGCAGCCACCACTGTACCAAGCAGCCACAACTGGAGCAAAAATCTCTGAGAATTAGGAGTATGGACAACTCACAAAATCTTTCCTTATTTCCCTCTGAAGGCAGAATTATGACTGTCCTCCTTGGAATTTCTTTGAGAAACAGAGATTTATTCCTGCTCCCACCAAAGTATGTGGCAGAGCCTCCTCAGTTTCAACAGCAGGATTGAGGGGCACCCACAAGCCCAAAAATCAGAGAGGTGAATGGATGGTGTTGGACTCACATGTACCTGTGTGAGGGACAGTGGAGAGCAGGGGGGATGGTCACCCCATGGGACTTTTCCTCCCCTCCTCTCGTCTCAGCCCAGAGGTACAAGGGTCCCACAAGGATAGGACTGCAACAGCCAGCAGCCAAGGTGCACAAGACCAAAATCAGAAAGTAAATCCAGGTATTCAAAGGGACATGCCAGTGCAGGAGCACAGGAGGGCAATTTCTCCTCCTGCCCTATGAGGATGTCACTGCTTTATGCCAGGCTCTTGGCATATCCGCTACACTACAAGGTTTGTGCCAGGTTGATTTGTGAGGTCCAAGAGGTATTTGGCAAGGGGGAAAGCACTGCAACAGCACTTCACTGTCACTTTTTGTTTTGTTATGCTGCCCTTTATCAGCAGTTCCTACCTGAATAAGGAGAATCTGGAAGGGAGCTGGACTTTGTGTGAAGGATCCATTGAATAAACAGTTTATAAAGAGTCAGAAAATGAGAAACAACTGGTTTAATAAATAGTTAATTAATTGCTCACCAGAGCAATAGAATCCTTATAGCCCATAGTTACACCTAAGTTTTATCTAATCTACTGGAGACACTCCAGAAAAGAGCAACAAGACTGGCCACAAGCCCAGAAACCAGGTGTGCTGAGAAGAGAAGGCTGAGGTTGGGCAGGATACATCACAGACACCAAAAAGGCTGGTCTAAAGAGGAAGAGTATCTTCTGTTCCTAGTGTCAAAGGCAGGCAAGAGGAGAAGTCATCAGCTCTCAGTGCAGCAAGTGAGACTAGGTCAGAGCAGGGCAGCCCCATACTGCAGAGCCATGGAGCCTGGGAAATCTCCACTGCTCAGGACAGACAGTGGTTTAGCTAGTCCTGCCTTTTGCCAGGGGGCAGACCACATAAACCCTTGCAGGACTTTTGTCCCCATCTTCTCATTTAAAATTTTACATCTATTTTCAAGATGCCCTATCATAATTGCAATGTGCTCAACTGTCAGTGCTGGCTCTGTATGGCCTGACTCTGAATGTACTCGCTGTACAAGACGGCAAAGTCTGATTGAGTTTACAGGGCCTGTGTATCACTTAAAAGTTTAAAAAACACTTCTTTTCACCTGAGTGCCCTCTGGGAGAGGTGTCCAAGGCAGGGCAGTCCCCCCAGCTGGGACACACAATGCACAGGCATTGTAGATATCTCCAGGACACCCTCTTGGTGACCTCCCCTGGGACTCCAGGGAGCCATCCTTCCTTAGGAAGGCGAAAGGCAGTCTTCAATAGGTGACATTTTTCCACAACATGGCACTGTAGAGGCTTGACTCTTCTGGGTACTGAACAGCCACAGATTTATTATGGGGATGGGGTGGGAGTGAAAAGGAAGCAGATCAAGGCCTGGATTTCTCAGGAGAATTGATCGACCATCTACAAGCCAAGTCCATGTAGATTTTGCTGGAAGTGTTTGCTCTTTTAAATTCTGATTGAATTTATATGGGTTTTTGACTCGGGGCAGACAATAACTAGACAGATGTAGTACATCCCACTTGGAGATCCTAGTTGTCTCTCTTCTTCTAAGTTCTCATGTGGGCAGAGAACATAGGAAAAGGCTAAAAGTGTACAGGCCCTGCAGTGGCTTTCAGTGCTCAGTGGTACAAAAGCTATGGGATGGTAGTCAGAGATTCAGGTGATATGCAATTGGGCTTGATAAGCTAACGTATCTGCATTAAACATGGTAGTTTGGGTCCCACCTGTACCCCTGTTATTCCTTCATGTTACAGATGCATGTCAAGATGCATGTTGCCACACTGGATGATTTACCAAAAGCTGTGTATATAAATGCTGCTTGTTTTAAAACAGGGCAGAGACTGGGAGCAGAAAAAAGATGTACCTACAACTTCCTGCACCATTGCTTAGGGATTTACAAGTTGAGACCTTAGCCTGTAACCCCAATCATCCTTTGATCCCTGTTAACTTCTGCAGGTAGTGCAACAAGCTGCTGCAACAAGGCTGTCTTTTAGAGACTGAGTGCTGCCAACCAACCAGACAGATGACAACATAGCACCAGTCCTCAGGAGACCTAGTCAGAAGCACAGCAAAAGATGGAACACGGCAGTTCACACTGAGAGAAAATCTTCATATGAAAAAACTTACAACATAAGCAAAATAGGCAGAGGGGGGAAAATGCAGACATAAGATCCAAGAGGAACTCTTTTGCTACAGGAAAAAGAAGTCATTTAAGCATGTGACATAAATATTCCTTTTCAATGTTATCCTTATCAGTGTATCCTTACCAGTGTCCTTCTTCTTTGTTCGTGAAAGCTCATGGACCGTTGCTCCGATATCATTTCTCAGGGACTTGATGATCTTGTCCAGTGCTGGGACATTCTTGCCTTCCAAGTTAATGAAGAATTCGTACTCATCTTTGTTGAGACGGGAAGGTCGAGACTCAATGTGGGTCAGGTTTATACCTTTTTCCTATGAGAAAGAAAGATTTTGGTCACACAGTTTGGGGGAAGAAATATGACATAAAGACTAGCTAAAATTCATGTGTTAGTCAACAATCCATACTATACAATCCAAATAACTCAAAAGCAGACATGCCTCTGGCAGCCACTGGACTGAGGACTTGCACAACAGGGAGAAAGACAAAAGGGAAGAATGAGAAGGATGTGGGATTCACCCTTGTGCAGAGCACCAACATAAAGAATATGCACTACATAAACCTTTGAAAGTAGGAAGCAGGATACAAGTCATAAGTAGGCTTTGTATTGCAAAGGGTGACTCCAGTACAGCAAGTACATAATGGGAGCTTCTCTGGGTGGACAAGAACATTTCCCCGGGATCAACATGGGAAGTAGGCATTCTACCTGTAGAAAACCCTCTCATGAGAAAGCAAATGCTGTATTTATGAGCATCTTGATAGGAGGTTGGAAAAGCAAGCAGCTGGACACCCTGTGAGATAAGCTTCTGCCAAGCCATGGCACAGTCACCTGCAAAGCCACCTGCACTGTTTCCAGGGCTGTGAGCAGGTGCTGGGCAGAGGTCCAATGGGAAACATGGATCTGTACCAAAAAGGTATCCCAGGTTTGTGCAAATAAAAACATGGGTGTTTTAAATCACAGAATCACAAAACCACAGAATCTCAGAGTCGCTGAGGTTGGATGGGGCCTCAGGAGATCATCTAGTCCAACAGCCTGCTCAGGCAGGGTTGTCTAGAGCAGATTGCCCAGGACTGTGTCATCAGGTTTTGAGTATCTCCACAGATGGCCACTCCACAACCTCTCTGGGAAACCTGCTCCAGAGTCAGATCACTCTCAGAGCAAAGAATTCTTTTCTTTAGCACAGAAATTCAAATTCCGTCTCATCAAATTTTTTCACTGAACAGCAACAGTGCCTCCTAGCTCTGAAGAAAGGGATCATTGGCAACTATAGTGTTGATGACTATGGCCAGTGGGTACCTGACCTCAGACATGCCACCATGTCAATATGTAAAGCAACAAGTAGCTAAAAATCCTGTTCTTCCAGTCACTTAAACACAAGTCCAGGAAAATCTACCTCAGTTTAGCTGAACTCAAATGTTTTCCTGAGCACTGTAATTTGACTATGAAAATATTATTTGCTTTTTTTTTTTTTGAGAAAAACCTTTTAAACATATTTCAGTTGGTGCTGACTTTACCACCTGCCCTTCTTGTCAGGCTCACACTGGAGCCACAGCCACAGCACACCAGGGCCAGGTCTGGGCTTCTGTCCCCGGGAGGAATAGACAAACCCCTGGAGCAAATTTGACCCTGAAGATCAACAGCAGAAGATTCAGAGGAGCTGATACACTGTGCTCAGCAGCCCTGGAGAAGCAGCTGGTTTGCTGCTTTCAGGCTTAAGGCGGCCCCAAACTACACAGGGTGGAAATGATGACCCGCTGGTGTCAGTGTCAAACCTATGGGGTCAGGATTTCATCTGTGAAGAAATACTGCAAGGATCTACTTGTGACCTACAGGAAAGAAAGAGGGAAGCTTTTTTCCTGTACCTCCCTCTAGTCTGAGCTTCTCGAGCCCTTTAAGGTTTTCTTTGCTCCTCTCAGTGCTTGCACAGCACAGGGGAGCATCTGGCCATCAGTGGCAAAGGCCTCATTCACTCCACCACAAAGGGCAGTTTATTACTTGGTAGGAAACAGCATGCATGTCATTCCTCTGTTTCCTGAGTGTCGCACGCTACAGATGAACTTAAATTGTTTGGCTAGATACCAATACAATAAGTTGAAAAGGTCAAAAGCTCATTCGCCAACTGCTGCTCTTGAGAGATGCTGTCCTCGTGGGGCCGTCTGGGGGAGATAATGGCCGCCACTGTCCCAGGCCCCAAGGACAATTTGTTTTAGGCCTCCAAAGCCCCGTTTCACAAACAGACTGCACATTGTACCCCCCACTTGGTGAGGCGCGGGGAGGTGGGGCAGCCCAGAGCTGGAAGTTCAGATGACTCGGTGCTGGAAAGCTTTTGACAGAGAGCAGGCGCGGAGGGCTGCCGGCCCCTTCGCCACAGCCACGCCATGGAGAGCAGTGCAGCAACATGGCGTTGGCACCTGGAGCCCAGGGCTGTTCAGCTGCTCCGTGAAGCTACTCACAAAGGTGGAGAGTGGGTGTAAAACCTCCCCCTGTGCAAAGGTTCAGGCATACTGGGATGCTGCTTTTCTTCCGCCTTGCACTGATGTGTCGGGGTGTTGTATTCCGTCTCTGTATAGATTCACAGAGGAATGGGGTCCCAGACCCTGTTTGGGCTTTCTACGTCTTGCAGAGGCTGTGATAACATGGACCTCTCTTTGGGGGCCATTATCCCCCACTTCCCTCCCCCACTCACAGATGTTCATCCCTGCCTCAGCATCCCTCCCCCAGAGATAGCAGAACTGTTTGAGAGATCACAGAGGTACCTCAACTATATCCCCTTTTTTTTTTGGCCAGGTGACTTTTCCGCTGTACCACCTCTCCAGCCTGGCTCAGTGAGCAGCTGCACAAACAGTAGTGCCCACAAAATGGAGGGAGTGATGCAGGGGTTGGGAATGAAGAGACAAGCTGTGGGGTGGGCACAAGGCATGCTTAAGGCAGTAGGAGCATCAATGCCTCCCAAAGTATTGCCACAACTTAAGAGAGTGCAAAAAAGGAAAAAAAAGAAGACAGGGAGGAAGGAGCTCATGGAGAGAGTCACCTCCTTTCTTACACCTGGGATAAGCAAAACAGCTTCCTCCAGAGTGTGAAGCTGTTTTGCTGTTTATTTGAGGGGTGCCTGCAGCTCAGCAATGTGCAGAGCCAACGCATTACTTTTTTGTGCCAATGCTTCAGGACCTCACAGCAGAGAAGCTGAAGGGAGAACCCTTCTGGTCACTGTTTTCAAAGCAAGAATTCAGCAGCATATGTCCAACGCCCTGAGCTGGCGCTCCTGTAGAAATATGCTGTCATACACTGTGCCTTGCTACTAAGTCCCTGATTTCAAAATATTTACAATGGCTCTGTTACTAGAGTTGCTTTACAAATCTCAATTTCATTCTAGTCCAACTACTCCATCTAGTGTTTAATCTTCATAGTTTCACATTGTTCAAAACCTTTCTGTATCCTCAGTATTGCCTAACCTTGCAACTGCATCAGGTTTCTCACAGTAGTTAATGCTTTATTTAAAGCTCCAACTTCTGGAGACAAATGGTTACCTGAGAAAAGAGAATGGGGGCATTTTTTGGCTTAGTTGTTTATTTTGAGCAGTTTTCAATCTCTCTGTGCTTTTCAGTAGAGCTTGAAATCTTGGCAATGTATGCCCTCAAAAGACAGCTAATAAATATTCTGTATTTATTTTATGGGACTTCATTATTTCTGAGCTACTTTTTGTTTATGGAACCTGACTCCTAACCTAACTGGTTTTGGAAGATCTGGGCTGTCACATGTTTGAGGCTGGATTCACACCTGAACTATTAATATTGTTCTCTTCTGCCTTTACTATTTTAGAGCTGGTAGGAATCGGATGAGCCCATGGCTTGAGATTAGACTCAATTAGAATTGCTGAATTCATCCCATCATTCACTGAAGCTGCAAAGAGCTTGAAGCAGGTTGGTGCCTCCCTACTTCTCCTCAGGTTTACGACCAGCATAGAGGTTGAGGCTCTCCTACACGGACACATCCTATCATACAGCCATGTACCTGCTGGAGTGCTTCTGTGTTGGTAGAGGAGGGGGTAGCTGTTCACCTTGCCGTTATTTCAAATCAGTGTACTAGGCCATTTCCAAGATACTTTTTAGCAAGTATTAACAATTCAGAACAGATTTTGCCTTGAGGACTGAGAGTAGCATTAGATGTAACACCTAATGGAGATCACAGGGGTACAGTATTGCCAGATCCCTTGAAGTTAGCAAAAGTCGCTCCAATTTTTTTGCTTTTTTTCTTAAAACCTCCACTCCTGGGGGTGAAAGAGCTCAGCTTTCATTATTTGAATATCCAAGTCAACTGTATCTCTGTCACTCCCCATTAGAGAAAGAAGTCTCAAGACATTCTCAGAGCTCAAATATCAAGTTAGAACTAGGTCCATTTTGTGTGTCATGATTTTTTGAATGACAGGGGTTAGTGATACAGATGTCAATTTACAACAGAGGCAATGGTGAACACAGGAGATTGCCCATCTCCCTGCCTGTCTCACCCCACAGTGCTGGATCTCAGCCTTGGCACCCTCTCAGAGGCCGTGAAGCAGCTCCAGCCCCTCCCCCAGATTATTCTAGTTATGCCATCCCAACCAAGTGTCTCCCACACTGCAGCTGCCCCACACAGGCGGGATCAAACCAACCTGGTGTTACACTACATTGGCAGTCTTACAGAGGTCACCACCAAGAGAATTTAGTCCCACCCTCAAAAGTTTAATGGCCTGATCATTGGAAAAGAAAAGCTATGTTTTCATAGCTACATGGGAAAGCTTTCAGTAGGGATGGATACTTTCTGGGAATGTTATGGGCTACTGCTTCCCATGGTGTTCATAGGTCCTTCTGTTTACACATTACTAAATGCTCCTGTATATTGTTGCTAAAACTAAGTACAGCTGTGAAATCCATCTGCAGCTTGTTTTCATGACTGTTGTCATTAAGTAAGTTTGGCTTCATCAGGACACCCCACATTGTTACCAGATGAAGAACAGTCGACATCACCACCAATCAACATTCAGTGAGAACTTGGATGAAATCTCCCAAAACAAGGATTTACTTGCACTTTCTTGATACATAAAAAAAAAAAAGTTACATGTTCTTTTAATCCTTGTCACAGGCTAGTTCAGGGCTTCCTGAAGGAGGACACTTTCAGAAGCAGAAATAGTTAGGAAGTTACGGTGATGTCTTCAGCCATGGTTTCCCAAAGTGAAAGCAAAGGCAGCCATCTGGTTCAGCTTTACTGTCCAAGGGCCTGCTCCTTAGCTGAAAACAGTGCTTCCCCATCTGCTAGGGTATTGCTCACATGGCAAGC